GGGAGGGCAGACAACACACGAGCACATAAGGCAGGCGAACGACAACAACCAGTGGACAAGACAAGGACCAAAAAAAAAAAGACAACACATAGGTTGGAGGGCACTGGGGAGGCGGGAGGGCAGACAACACACCAGCACATAAGGCAGGGAAACGGCAACAACCAACGGACAAGGCAAGTACCAAAACCACGAAAACTGAAAAAAAAAATAAAAATGATGATGACAGATTGTTTCGTCGGAGTTGCACCGACTCATCAGGAGGCTGAACCCACACACACACACACAAAATCAGTTCTATGTCTGTCAGTCTTTCTTCTGTTGTTTTCCCTTCCCCTGTTTTTTTCTAAGTAATTTTTCGTGTGCCCAATTGAGCACCCTTAAGTAGTGCCAAACAGTTCCTCGTTTGGAGTGCCTGCTGCACTCTTATGGGGGCCGCTCAGTTCGGGATGTCTGTGTTGCCTGTCGGTGATGACGGATGCTCATCGGAGTGACTCCCTGGCTCAGTGGGTGGTGGGAACCAACAGTCTGCGGGGTTCAATCGTGATGTGAGTAGGTCATGTGCTGCTTTGCTCCGTGTTGGATGTGTGGACTGCCTCGTCTGCGCTCCACCGCCGCCTTGCTGCCTGTCCTGCTTGCTTTGCATGTGGTTCTCTGCAAGTTGCTTGTGTTCGTTGTGTGGTGTGGCCGTGTTGTCGGTGTTGCCTTGCGCTTCGCTGCTCCGCTGCCTTTTGCCCATCCGCTGGCTGTGCCTTCCGTGTATTCCGCTTGTGTGCCGTGGAGGTTGGTTGTCTTGTTGTTGGTGCCTTGTGCTCCACTGCATGGTTGCCGAGCTGCTGGTCCGCTCGCCCTGTCGTCCCTTGCAGTGTGGGGGCCTTGCTTGTGTTGTCTTGTGCTTCACTACACGGTTGCCGCGCTGCATGTCCTGCGTGCCATGTCGTTCCTTGCAGTCACTTTTGGCGTTGTGCAGCCGTGTTGCCTCTACTGTGTTGCCTGGTGCACCACAGGGTTGCTGCCCGCTGCTATAATCCGCTTGGGGACAGTCTGCCTTCACCATGGGTCAGAGGGTCTATCATCATCAGTTTTTATTTTTTTCAGTTTTTGTGGTTTTGGTACTTGCCTTGTCCGTTGGTTGTTGCCGTTTCCCTGCCTTATGTGCTGGTGTGTTGTCTGCCCTCCCGCCTCCCAGTGCCCTCCAACCTGTGCTGTCTTATTTTTTTTGGTCCTTGCCTGTCCACTGGTTGTTGTCGTTTCCCTGCCTTATGTGCTTGTGTGTTGTCTGCCCTCCCGCCTCCCCCGTGCCCTCCAACCTATGTGTTGTCGCAAGTTTCTTGCTTCCCCCGGTGCCCTCCAGTCTATGTGCCCTGCTAAGCCTTGTCATCCAAAAGTACATTACCTCCCTGCTCTGTGTGTGTGTGTGTGTGTGTGTGTGTGTGTGTGTGTGTGTGTGTGTGTGTGTGTGTGTGTGTGTGTGTGTGTGTGTGTGTGCCACAGAGAGAAAGAGCGGGGTCTCCGTGGGGGGGGGGAAGGAATGGCTGGGTGTTGACAAGACTGCATACCTCTGGAAGCCAGTACTTGCTTGCAAACATTAGACCCAAAGTCTCAGGTGTCCAAGAGAGAGCTAGGAGGTAGGCATAGAGTCCTCCTAGCACAACATACGGCAGATAGCTCTCAACTACCTTTTGCGTCTGCAATCAACAAAATCAAAGATGGGGATTCAAACAAGAAAAGCAAAGCACCCTTATCAGCAAAGACAAAAGTGGCAAAGCCACACTTCCTGTGCGTGCACAAATCTGCAATCCATGCCTGATCTTGCCGAGCGGAACGAACAGGTCCAATCCAGACCCAACCTCAGTTCCTTGAGAACCTAGGAGCGTATGCCGGTGTTTACACCATTCCCAAAACAATATAGGAATTTGGAAACGAGAAGAAGATAATCACAAGAAGAAGGAGAAAAAAGGTGAGGTTGGGAGGGGCTAGCCCAGGCAAACTTGAAAACCACAAATGCAACATAATTCCAGGTTCTTCGGATGAAGACTATTACGGGACCAAAATGGCTGCCAGTCCCAGCCAAAGGAAAAGGAAACACCTCCATGGTGGTGTGCCCCACGGTAGTTAATGTTAGCATGACCAACTAACAGTCCGAAGTCCCTCACTGAGGCAAGGGCCCCCCTGAGGCATGCAACACTCTCTCCCTGCACTTACATATGACCTCTTTGCAACAGTGCCCAGCAGAATGTCAAACAGGAAAGCACTGTTCAGTACTTCTGTTGTGATCTGACCTTGCAAGGAATCGAACTGGTGATTTCTATCTCAATGGCCCGATGCCTTAACCTCTGCAGCGGTGACTTGCTGTTCAAGGTGGAGCCATACCGGTTGAGCAATCCACCCCACCCCTGCACGGCTGCTGCAGTCTGACCACTCTATCCCCCTTGCGCGGCATCACTCAAGAGCCTCCAGCAGGCACATAGGCCCTCCTCACCTGCGAAAGTAGACACATTCATCTGGTAACATGGTCGGCTGTGCTCAAGGATGCAAAAGCCTGCCCCTGGCCTCCCCCCTGCACAATGGTGGCAGAGCGCACATGATTGCAGTCCTGAGGAAAGGGGTGAAGATAGCATCACGATACGGACTGCTTTACAGTAACACTTCAGAAGGGCAGCATCTCACGGAGCGCAGGGATACTCTGTGGCGGCAAAGACAGTGAAGGAGGGAGTTTCAGAGAGAGTTGAAGGCAGTGGTCTGATCATCTCATTAGCCAGAGACCGGTGACATCAGCAGTGTATCAGTACTCGGGACACTCTGAGAGAGCCAACAAGCTCGTTCCAAACGGTAGATCAAGTATTCTATACACAGGCAGACAGATTAGCAGAGATAAATGAGAAGATTTTGAGAGTGAGGGATCGCTGTGTAGGTCATTACTTTCACTGGCTGCATTTGCAGACTATTGATGAACTGCACACTGTGCAACTGCCTTGCTCAAGTGTCATTGACAAAGAAGTATCTAGTGCACATCGTACTTCTATTGTACCAAGTACTACCAACTTCCTCTCTGCTTTCTGTTTTCTCCCCTTAAGTGTACTCTACAGGATTTGAACTCTTTGTCTGATTATCAAAAGTAACATAACTACATTGCGTTTCAACTTCTTCTTTTTTTTTTTAAAACAAGGCTCTCATGGTCCTGGCTCCTGCTGTATTTTGGGGAGCAATTGTAATCACTGTTCTAAGGGTGTCACTCCTCTATACAACATTCTCCATGCATCTGGACGGTTACGTGGACCATATACAATCAGACTGATCCAGCATTTGAATGCATATGGAGCATCAAAAAGCATCGAGAGTGTTGCCGAGTGGAGTGAGGCCCTACGTTGAAATTTGCAAATGCAATCAGGAGTCAGGACCGCAAAAGAGAGGTATAATATCAGGTGGGTGGGATCAATCGATAATATCAAGTGGGTGGGATCATTCAATAATATCAAGTGGGTGGTATCAATTGATGTCCGAGTGAGTCTGCCAGGCCAGCAGCAGAAGTATCAACATTCGCCATCAGATACTATCTCGGCGGAACGTTGACATCCAACAGAGGCACCTCCTTCAACAGGGAGGGGGAGTGTTGCATACTGTAACGAGCAGACCAGAACAAGAACCGACCTCTCAATACAAAGTATAAGATAGCACAGCGGAAGACTTAGATACCAATGATCCGAACAATCAATATTGCAATGCAGCCCTGAACATACGTCATCATCATCGTTACCGGGTGTGAATGGGGTCTGGCGCTTCACACAGGAAGACTGCGCCAGCCCCTACCATACACAGATGAAGGAGATGGGGGTTAGACGAAGAAGAGGGGCAGATGGGAATGTCATCAACACCAAGTGTTCAGCACAGGCCCAAATAGTCCCTCGTCGAAATGTCTGAATCCCAAATGTCGAGTCTGGATCCAATATCGTCAAGTCTCAAGTCACAACTCTTTCTCTCTCTGTCGTAGTCTGAGAAGTCAGGTGGCGAGAGGGTGAGAAGAGATGGTGGACTTAGAAGAGGAAGAAGAAGAACTCTCTCTCTCTCTCCTGTCTCTTATACACATCTAGATGTGTATAAGAGACAGGTCCAGTACTAACCTGTGAAGTTGGCGCCTTGACGCAGGTACCTCGAAGATGGAGCTGGAGCGATGGCGCCACAGGTAAGTACCACTGGCCTCCGCCAGTATCTCTCCCAACTCTACGATCTACCACCTACCAGCGCCCAACGCTGAAGACTACTGCTATGGCTATGGGCGCCCAGCGCCGAAGACTACCTCTAGCGCTAACTACTGCCTAGCGCTGAAGACTACTGCAGCGCTCCTCCTGAGTGCTGCGGCCGAATCCTGAAGACTACTCGTGCCTACTGACAACTACCTACCTTGCCTGTAGGGCGGGCCAGTCTTATATAGTGCTGGCCCGTCCAGGAGGCTGCTCTTGCCAATGCCCAAACGTGCTAGCCCCTGAGGAAGCTTCCGGGAAGTTTCCAGGTAGCTTCTGGCTAAAGCCTGAGAAAGCTTCCGGAAGTTTCCAGGTAGCTTCTGGCTAAAGCCTGAGGGGCTATAGGCCCTTGTTTTCAGGCTGTCAGGCTGAAATGACACGGGGCCTGTAGGCCTTGGTTTTCAGGCTGTCAGGCTGCAACAGACACAGGGCCTGTAGGCCCTGGTTTTCAGGCCGTTTCAGGCTGTCAGGCTGACACGGACACGAGGCCTGTAAGCCCTTGTTTCTAGGCTTTTAGGCTGAGACTGCGGGACAAGCCCTGCAGGCCCGTGTGGCTACACAGTATGCCACCCCCCCCCCTCCTTGAAAGACCGAGCTTACCTGCGCGGGCGAAGCTGTCTGTCTGAGGGAGGGACCACAGTCCGGGTGGGAGGGGCAGGTCGTGGGGGTCCCTTGGCTAACCTTTGACGTTCATAGTGAGCGTAGATCAGCGGTGCGGATGCTTTCAAATCTGCTCCTGAAATCCACCGAGTGTCGTCGGGATCGCATGCTCTGAATGTAACTTTGTATTGTCGCGGCTTGCTGTCGTACTTGCGATCCGAGATGATGTGGTCAACCTCCTGATGACCATCCATAGATGGAGGGTCCTGCGATCGTCGGCCCGGAAAGTCGTCGCTCTTAGCTAGCGTGTATGTTGCCAGCTTCGAGGCGTGAAAGACTGGATGGACCGTCAGATGCTCGGGAATGTTGATCACAAATGAAGGGCCATCGGGCTCATCACCCGCGGCTGATGTCACAGACCATGGTCCAAACCACTTGGGAAGCAGCTTGCGTGAAACATCCTGTTCCAGTGCAAACTCTTCCGCGGAGACCCAAACCAGATCACCGGCGCCGATGGGACATGGCACGCGACACCTATTGGCTTGCTGCTGCATGCGGACTTGAGCCTTTTGCATGTTCGCGTGGGCTTGAGTCAACAATTCCCTGTACTTCCGGACGGAAGCGGGGGAGCAAGCGGCGTCAATGTCGGCTGGTCGAGGGAGGAGAAGGTTGGCGAAGATACGACCTTTCCGTCCACCGTGGTGCAACTCGAATGGAGTCACGCCGATCGCCGGGTGCACCAAAGTGTTGTAGGCGAACTCGATGTCGGGGAGGCGGGCGTACGAAGCATCATTTGAGCGGTTTGATGTGCCCACTCCGTTTGCCCGTCCGTTTGTGGATGCCGAGCCGAACTTGGTTTTATCTTCATGCCGGACTCCTGCATGAGAGCAGTCCAAAATGCCGACATGAAGCGAGTGTCGCGGTCACTGACTATGTCTTCTGGTACACCGTGGGCACAAATCCAACCGGTGTGCAGGAGGCGTGCCAGCTCGGGAGCCGTGGAGTAGTACTTGCAAGGAAGAAAACGCGCGTACTTACTCAATCGGTCCACAACCGTGAGGATGCCGTCGTGCCCGAGCCGGTCGCGAGGGAATGGACCGGTGACGTCCATGGCAATGGAGAGACCGGGTTCCCGTGGGATGGGCATCGGGCGTAACTCGCCATAGGGATTGCAGTTGCGGGGTTTGCTGCGTCGGCAAACTTCGCAAGAGTCGCAATACCGTCAGGCCATCGGAATCGTTGTCGAAGTCGTGCAATGGTGCGGTTGACTCCGAAATGGCCGGCGAGTCGCGAGTCATGGTACTCCCCGAGAAGGCGAGTCCGAAGACGACGGTCTCGTGGGACACACAATAAGTCCTTGCCTCTCGAGTGGAGGAGCAAGTACCCGTCGCCAATGCGATAGTGGCTGGCCGGCGGGTGATCCGAAGATAGCTGTGCATATAGCGTGGCAAAGTCCAGACTCATATGCCCGGATGAAGTGTCGCTGAAGCTCCTCGTCGAATGCGAAGGCATGATGTGTTATAGCGCAAAGATCAGGTCTTCGCGAGAGTGCATCTGCTGCGCGATTTGAGAGGCCGGGAAGATGTTTCGGTGTGAAGTCAAACTGGTCGATGAAGTACATCCATCGTCCGATCGTGCTGCTCACCGTATCCTGCGTCTTGTAGTAGGTCAATGGATTGTTGTCCGTAACCCATGTGAACCTACGACGCCCACGGAGGAAGTGCCGCCAGCGCTTGAGAGCCATCACGAATGCGAGCAGCTCCTTCTTCCTTGCATCATCAAGCGAGTTGATGGGAGGCACTTTGTGGCTGAAATACTCCACAGGGTGCCAGTCGTCGCCGTCGTGCTGTTCCAAGACTGCCCCAATGCCATAGCCGGAAGCGTCCGTAGTCACTCTCGTTGGCAGGGTGTGGTCATAGATGCTAAGGACGGGTGCCATGAGCATAGCCATCTTAAGTGCTTGGAATGACCGGCGTGCGTCGTCATCGGATACGAATGGCACCTTTGGTGATTGTAATCTCGTCATAGGTGCAGCAATCCTCGAGTATCCGGTGATGAATCGCTGATAGTAGCCCGCCAATCCCATGAATGAACGAACGTCCGTGGTGTTGGTGGGCTCGGGCCATACCCGTAGGGCCTCGATCTTGTCCGCAAGTGGATGGATGCCTTGCGGCGTCACATAATGTCCCAAGTACTCCAGCTCCTGCCGCACGAATTCGCACTTATCGCGGTTGGCTTTGTACTTGGCTTGTCGTAGCCGCTCCAAAACGGTGCGCAGGTGTTCCACATGCTCCTCCAAACTCCGGCTGTACACCAGGATGTCGTCGAGGTAGACAAGTACGTATCGATCCAGCATGTGTCGGAACTCCGTTGTCATAGCCGCTTGGAAAGTGGTCGGGGCATTCGTAAGGCCAAATGGCATAACCAGCCATTCAAAATGCCCATATCGCATCTTAAACGCGGTCTTGTAGCGGTCTTCCTTCTGAATCTCGAGTTGGTGATATCCCGACTTGAGGTCCAGCTTGGAGAAGAACTTGGCGCCGCCCAATCGTTCGAAAAGGTCATCGATGCGTGGGAGAGGGCTGGCGTTCCTGATCGTCTGCGTGTTGAGCTTGCGATAATCGATGCACGACCGCAAATCCTTGTTCTTCTTCCGGACGAAGAGAACAGGAGCACCGTATGGCGATGAGCTAGGCCGAATCCAGCCTTTCTCCAGAAGGTCGTCGAGTTGTGCCCGAAGCACACTTAACTCTTCCTCACTCATTTGGTAGATGCAACCGCGCAGAGGTACGGCCCCGTCCTCGAGGATGATCTCGTGGCGGATGGGCCGATCCGGTACTACTCCGTGCGGGCCTTCGAACACGTCGCTGTAGGCGTCGAGAAGTTCGGTGATGCGTGGATCCGAAGATGAGTCCGTCGATGAAGCGTGATGGGGCGGGAGGGCGTGGAGAAAACACACCCCCATCTCCTCGATGTCGTCTCTGATGATGGATGCTCGCATGCTTGCGGCAGATACCACGTGGCAGCTGATAGAAGGGTGAGGAGGAGCCACCGTGCATGGGACTAGTACTCCGTTCCGATCACGAACGTGAACGGTGCGGCGGTAGAAGTTCACCGGGKGGKCCTCGCTTCGCAGCCATGACATGCCCAAGATCATGTCGAATTTGGTGTCCAAAATGTCAAAGGACACAGCCTCACTTGCGTGAGGGGCAAAGTACACTGGGACGTTGTCAATGCACCGGTCGATTGACTTGTGCGTGTGACCGTCTGCCAATGTGACTTGCGTGGGCTGGGACTTCCTTCGGACGCGTGGGCCCAGGCCGGCGCGTACCATGAAGTCCTGTCTCATGTAGTTGCGAGATGCTCCGCAATCAATCAAAGCGCTGCAGGTCGCCTCTCCAATCTGAATGCGTACATATAGCAATGGTGCGTCGATGTCGTCGTACCGTTGCGTCTTGAACTCGCGGTCGATCTTCGCAATGTAGGCGTGAAGGTCGATAACCTCTACTCCGGCGTCCATCAACGGAGTCGGTACTGCAGTGTGCAAGTAGTCCTGCAATTGTGCTTTGAGCACCTTGAAATGCGGTTTCGGCAAGCGACCGGACCGGGGCAGGGGCATCCATTGGAAGTCCTCAAAGGTCAACGGGTCGAGTTCTTCAAGACCTGACCATGTCATTGAATCCCTGGCGGTAGATGACGGCGAAGCTGCCGAATCGGTTGCCGATGGTGATGAAACCGTGCATGCGGTAGATTGTTGCACGTGGAGCGGTTGGTCCAGCGGTGGAACCAAGTGGACAACATAATTCCTCGTAAGTGTACCAAGGACTTGCGACATTCGCATCCTCCCCAAATGTGTAGGAGGCCGCTAGCAAGGCGGCCGAATCTGGCGGAGTGGGGTGTGGAGTCGCCTCACCTCCCGCGAAACTCAGTTTCCCGAGTTGAGCGGAGGCCGCATGTCCTCCTTGGCCTGATCCTGGCAAAGAGAGGTCTTGTGCTTGGTGCTGTTGCACTAGTAGCAGCAGCCGTAACGGCCGCAGTACTTGTACTTGGGCTCGGTCAAGCCGAACTTGACCCATGGTGGTGCTGGCTGTCCATTTCCGGCCTGCGATGCTGGTTTCGCCTTCCCATTTTCCTGGGACTTGTTGTTGCTTCGCGGCTGGACAGCAGCCACCTGATCTCCCTCACGTGATGCTGGAGTGGCTGCTGGGTCTTCTCCACTGTCCGACTGGACTGCAGCGAACTGCTGCTGTCGCGGACCAGTTCTTACCTTCTCCACATAGGTTGGCTGCCGCGTTGACTTCTCGTGTGCAGCTGCCCTGTTGGTCTTGATGATCTCCCTCGCCTTGTTGATGATCTCTACGAAAGTGTTGTACTGCTCGCGATCACCAAGTGCGAGGGTGAGAGCAGCGCATGACCTGTTGTAAAACTCACGGCGCAGATGCGGAAATGGCAAGTCCAAATCTCGGGAGTTGCCACAATCTTCTGCCAATCCGTGAGCCAGTCACGTGTCGGTGTGTCCCCTTGAGCCATCGTGAAGATGAGGTTGATGGCGAGTGTCGGGGCGTCGTTGACGATGAACCGCTTCTTCCATTCCTTTGTCATATCCTCCCAGGAGACCTTCTTGTACAGGTCTGAAACCTGGACGCCGTGGATGGTTGCCATGTGGCTGAGCAAGATCTGACATACTCCCTTGGTGTTGATGAACAGAGCACTGATGAACAGATAGTCAGGGACCTCGTGAATCCCCAACTCCGTTGTAAATCCTTGCCACCAGACGACCGGGTCTTGATGTGTGTAGTCATCAAATTTCTCGATCCGGAACGTCGGCATCTTGTATGGCCTCGCCGAGCTCTTGTTGTGGCTGTGGCCAGTCTGTTGTTGCTGACTGATCTTGGTGTCCAGCAACTCGAACCGCTGGTTGATGGTGGCCGGCGCTGCGAAGGCACTTATGTCTCCTAGCATTGCTACTACGTGGTCAACGCGTTCCTCCAGTTGGCGGCTAGAGGGTGCACTGCTGGAAGCCCCAGCATCTGGTCTTGGTGGAACTTGTTCCAAGTCCTGTACACGGGCGTCCAGTGCCCGTGTGGCATCCTCGTGCTGAGTCCTATGGTTCCGCACGGCCCGCTGGAGGTTTGCCAACTCGGACTGTAGGTGGTTACAAGTGTAAACCAACCTGGTCACGAGCTTGGCCATGAACTCCTTATGCTGCTCTTCCGGTGTTGCTTCGTCGCCGTTCGGTTCAAAGTGCCAGAACTTGAGTCTGTCGATGCTGTTGGCTTCATGCCGCTGCAGCAGATCCTGGGCTTCCTTGCGGCGAGCCTGGGCATCTGCGTCTGCTTCGGCCTGTAGCCGCAGCTTCTCTGCTGTTGCCGCTTCTTCAGCCTGTAGTTGGGCAGCCGCGGATGCCAGCTGGCGTTGTTCCTCAGACTCGATGGAAGCGAGCTGAGCCTGGAAACGCTTCTTGTAGTCGGCAACGGGCTCATTGGCCAGTTGGCCTGGCAGGCCCGTCATGTTGCTGACGTGGCACTGCTGACGTGGCACTGTGTCCGACGTGGCACTGCTAACGTGGCACTGCTTACGTGGCACTGTGTCTGACATGGCACTGCTTACATGGCACTGTGTCTGACGTGGCACTGCTGACGTGTCACTGTAGCTGACGTGTCACTGTGTCTGACGTGTCACTGTCGCTGACGTGTCACTGTACCAACCCGGAAAATGCATGCAAAGGGTGGGTGGGAGGGAAAACGCAGGTAAGAAACCAGCCCAACAATACTTTCCTCCGCCCCTAATCAACAGATAAAATAAAAAAAAGAAAAGAGGACTACTTCCTTTTTTTTTTTTTTTTTTTTTTTGTATATCTGTCGATTTATTATGAGTAGGACATGTCAGAAAAGTATTATGAACGAGATCTAGGCTAGGTTCCGCAAAGTTTCGGTTTTTACAAACTGCGATCTTGGAAAAAAAAAAAATTGCAAAATTGCAATCAGACTCGACTTCTTCACACTTGTCATGCATGCAAACAGCGAAACAGCAAACTGGCGACATGCGCCCACACAGTACTCAAAGATATCGTAACCAGGTTGGAGTTCCCTTCAAACTGGCTATGGCGACTGAGCGCCCACACAACTCACTGTTCGCACTCTGGATCACCCTGGATGTCCCACACGCAACACTCTACACGCAACACACACACACACACACGCTACTATAGTTATGGCAGCTATGGCTGCCACTACCCTATCGCTACACTACACTTCACTGCCCTCTTCGTCTTCGGGCGCACTGCAGACCTCCCCGCACAAGCTGCTGAGGCAGCGCTTCCGCATGGCATCCGCAGGAATGAATGAATGGCTGGACGCAGCCTCTTAATTTATACTGCTGTGCGGCGTTGGTCTGCCCTGTATCCCTTGGCCCACGATGTGCACAGTCCCAGACGGCACTTGCTTGACTGGACCGGACTGGGCTACCTGGGACTGCTGACTCTACGTAGTGGACCTACACCACTTGCCCACTTGCCTCGGCCTAAACAGGGGCTGACTCCGAAAGGCCAGTTCTAGAAACTTCTACTTTGGCCTTTTGGTACTGTAGCAGCTACAACTTTGCCCTTTCAGGTAAGTAGCAGCTACGACCTTGACCCTTCAGACATCCTACAGCTACGACTTTGGAACTGTCTAGACTCCTACCCAACAGGTCTACAGATCGATTCCATTCTAAGCTGTGACCTACGACAATCTACCTACCACTGGCGATTCGACAGGTCGCAGGTTCAAATCTACGGGTTGTCATCAATACTGTACACAGGCAAGATGGGGAACTAGGGATCGAGCCCTGGGATCTGCATTTGCTACTGCGAACTGGTGAATACCGTTTCAAAGTGGAGTAAAGATGCGATTTCCAGAGAAGAACGAAATCCAGTTTCTGAGAATATGGCAACCTCCGAATATGCCTAACGCAATATTGGTAGGCTTCGCAAGATTTCGGTTTTCAGAAAAAAATTGCGAGATAGAATGGAAATGCGATTTTCAGAAAAGAATAATTTCGGTTTCCGAGAATATGACCACTTCTATCATTATCCCAATATGCCTAGAAAACGAAATACTAACCTCAGGAAATTTCAGCTATGTATGCGAAATATCAGAGAAACGAAAAGCTACTATCGGGAATTTTCAGACGAAACGAAATGCGATTTATCAGAAATTTTCAGATATTTGTTACGTAAAAACGAAGTACTAATATCAGAAATTTTCAGGTAAAACGAAATGCGAATATCAGAAATTTCAGATAGTTGTTGCGAGAAAAAAATTTCAGAGATTTGACGAAGTCCTACTTGATTTACTAATGAGTAATCGATAGATCAAGCAAGCTGGCTATTTGATTGAGCGGGTCCTCTGAATGAGAGGTCCGCTCCGATACCAAACTGTTGCATACCGTAACATGCAGACCAGAACAAGAACTGACCTCTCAATCCAAAGCATAAGATAGCACAGCGGAAGACTTAGATACCAATGATCCAAACAATCAATATTGCAATGCAGCCCTGAACATACATCATCATCATCGTTACCGGGTGTGAATGGGGTCTGGCGCTTCACACAGTAAGACTGCGCCAGCCCCTACCATACACAGACGAAGGAGATGGGGGTTAGACGAAGAAGAGGGGCAGATGGGAATGTCATCAACACCAAGTGTTCAGCACAGGCCCAAATAGTCCCTCGTCGAAATGTCTGAATCCCAAATGTCGAGTCTGGATCCAATGTCGTCAAGTCTCAAGTCACAACTCTTTCTCTCTCTGTCGTAGTCTGAGAAGTCAGGTGGCGAGAGGGTGAGAAGAGATGGTGGACTTAGAAGAGGAAGAAGAAGAACTCTCTCTCTCTCTCTCT